AATGTCCTCTATTCTTTCTTTTTTCTTTCTTTCTTTTGCTGTATTTTTTCTTTCTTTCTTTTGTTGTATTTTCCTTATTTTAATGTCCTCTATTCTTTCTTTCTTTCTTTTCTTTTAATGTCTTTCTTTCTTTCTTTCTTTCTTTTGTATTTTCCTTTATTTTAATGTCCTCTATTCTTTCTTTCTTTTTTTTTCTTTCTTTTTTTTTGTTGTATTTTCCTTTTTTTGTCCTCTTTCTTTCTTTCTTTCTTTTGCTGTATTTTTTTTTGATGTTTCTTTTTCTTTTCTTTCTTTTGTTGTATTTTCCTTATTTTAATGTCCTTTTCTTTTTCTTTCTTTCTTTTCTTTCTTTCTTTTTCTTTTGTTTATTTTCTGTATTTTCCTTATTTTAATGTCCTCTATTCTTTCTTTCTTTCTTTCTTTCTTTCTTTCTTTCTTTCTTTTTGCTGTATTTTCCCTTATTTTAATGTCCTCTATTCTTTCTTTTTTTTCTTTCTTTCTTTTTTTCCTTTTTTGTGTCTTTTCTTTCTTTTCTTTCTTTTTTTGTATTTTCCTTATTTTAATGTCCTCTATTCTTTCTTTCTTTTTTTTCTTTCTTTCTTTTTCTTTCTTTTGCTGTATTTTCCTTTATTTTAATGTCCTCTATTCTTTCTTTCTTTCTTTCTTTTCTTTCTTTCTTTTCTTTCTTTCTTTTTTTGTATTTTCCTTATTTTAATGTCCTCTATTCTTTTTCTTTTTCTTTCTTTTGCTGTATTTTCCTTATTTTAATGTCCTCTATTCTTTTTCTTTCTTTTATTCTTTCTTTTTCTTTTTTCCTTTCTTTTCTTTTGCTGTATTTTCCTTATTTTAATGTCCTCTATTCTTTCTTTCTTTCTTTCTTTATTTCTTTCTTTCTTTTGCTGTATTTTCCTTATTTTAATGTCTTTCTCTATGTTTCTATTCTTTCTTTCTTTCTTTTCCTTATTTCTTTCTTTCTTTCTTTCTTTCTTTTTTTGTTGTATTTTCCTTATTTTAATGTCATCTATTCTTTCTTTCTTTCTTTCTTTCTTTCTTTCTTTCTTTTTCTTTTGTTGTATTTTCCTTATTTTAATGTCCTCTATTCTTTCTTTTTCTTTCTTTTTTGTTGTATTTCTTTCTTTCTTTCTTTCTTTTTCTTTCTTTTTTTTTGCTGTATTTTCCTTATTTTAATGTCCTCTATTCTTTCTTTTTTTTCTTTCTTTCTTTCTTTTTTGTTGTATTTTCCTTATTTTAATGTCCTCTATTCTTTCTTTTCTTTCTTTCTTTCTTTCTTTTTTTTGCTGTATTTTCCTTTTTTAATGTCCTCTATTCTTTCTTTCTTTCTTTCTTTCTTTTGTTGTATTTTCCTTATTTTAATGTCCTCTATTCTTTCTTTCTTTCTTTCTTTCTTTTCTTTCTTTCTT